CACAACGATACCACCAACCGTTTCGGAGAAATTGCAAAACAGGCACTTGCACCAACAATTTTAAAATTTTGTTTGTTTTGTCTGATAGGTGAGATCGTCGCCAATAATATGAAACAATTTTCACAACGATACCACCAACCGTTTCGGAGAAATTGCAAAACAGGCACTTGCACCAACAATTTTAAAATTTTGTTTGTTTTGTCTGATAGGTGAGATGGCCGCCAATAATATGAAACAATTTTCACAACGATACCACCAACCGTTTCGGAGAAATTGCAAAACAGGCACTTGCACCAACAATTTTAAAATTTTGTTTGTTTTGTCTGATAGGTGAGATGGCCGCCAATAATATGAAACATCACAACGATACCACCAACCGTTTCGGAGAAATTGCAAAACAGGCACTTGCACCAACAATTTTAAAATTTTGTTTGTTTTGTCTGATAGGTGAGATGGCCGCCAATAATATGAAACAATTTTCACAACGATACCACCAACCGTTTCGGAGAAATTGCAAAACAGGCACTTGCACCAACAATTTTAAAATTTTGTTTGTTTTGTCTGATAGGTGAGATGGCCGCCAATAATATGAAACAATTTTCACAACGATACCACCAACCGTTTCGGAGAAATTGCAAAACAGGCACTTGCACCAACAATTTTAAAATTTTGTTTGTTTTGTCTGATAGGTGAGATGGCCGCCAATAATATAAAACTATTTTCGTAACGAGACCACCAACCCTCTCGGAGATATTGCAAAACAGGCACTTACACCAACAATTTTCAAATTTTCTTTCTTTTGTCTCATAGGTGAGATCGCCACCAATAATATCAAACAATTTTCACAACGATACCACCGTTTCGGAGAAATTGCAAAACAGGCACTTGCACCAACAATTTTAAAATTTTGTTTGTTTTGTCTGATAGGTGAGATGGCCGCCAATAATATGAAACAATTTTCACAACGATACCACCAACCGTTTCGGAGAAATTGCAAAACAGGCACTTGCACCAACAATTTTAAAATTTTGTTTGTTTTGTCTGATAGGTGAGATGGCCGCCAATAATATGAAACAATTTTCACAACGATACCACCAACCGTTTCGGAGAAATTGCAAAACAGGCACTTGCACCAACAATTTTAAAATTTTGTTTGTTTTGTCTGATAGGTGAGATGGCCGCCAATAATATGAAACAATTTTCACAACGATACCACCAACCGTTTCGGAGAAATTGCAAAACAGGCACTTGCACCAACAATTTTAAAATTTTGTTTGTTTTGTCTGATAGGTGAGATGGCCGCCAATAATATGAAACAATTTTCACAACGATACCACCAACCGTTTCGGAGAAATTGCAAACAGGCACTTGCACCAACAATTTTAAAATTTTGTTTGTTTTGTCTGATAGGTGAGATGGCCGCCAATAATATGAAACAATTTTCACAACGATACCACCAACCGTTTCGGAGAAATTGCAAAACAGGCACTTGCACCAACAATTTTAAAATTTTGTTTGTTTTGTCTGATAGGTGAGATGGCCGCCAATAATATGAAACAATTTTCACAACGATACCACCAACCGTTTCGGAGAAATTGCAAAACAGGCACTTGCACCAACAATTTTAAAATTTTGTTTGTTTTGTCTGATAGGTGAGATGGCCGCCAATAATATGAAACAATTTTCACAACGATACCACCAACCGTTTCGTGGAAATTGCAAAACAGGCACTTGCACCAACAATTTTAAAATTTTGTTTGTTTTGTCTGATAGGTGAGATGGCCGCCAATAATATGAAACAATTTTCACAACGATACCACCAACCGTTTCGGAGAAATTGCAAAACAGGCACTTGCACCAACAATTTTAAAATTTTGTTTGTTTTGTCTGATAGGTGAGATGGCCGCCAATAATATGAAACAATTTTCACAACGATACCACCAACCGTTTCGGAGAAATTGCAAAACAGGCACTTGCACCAACAATTTTAAAATTTTGTTTGTTTTGTCTGATAGGTGAGATGGCCGCCAATAATATGAAACAATTTTCACAACGATACCACCAACCGTTTCGGAGAAATTGCAAAACAGGCACTTGCACCAACAATTTTAAAATTTTGTTTGTTTTGTCTGATAGGTGAGATGGCCGCCAATAATATGAAACAATTTTCACAACGATACCACCAACCGTTTCGTGAGAAATTGCAAAACAGGCACTTGCACCAACAATTTTAAAATTTTGTTTGTTTTGTCTGATAGGTGAGATGGCCGCCAATAATATGAAACAATTTTCACAACGATACCACCAACCGTTTCGTGAGAAATTGCAAAACAGGCACTTGCACCAACAATTTTAAAATTTTTGTCTGATAGGTGAGATGGCCGCCAATAATATGAAACAATTTTCACAACGATACCACCAACCGTTTCGGAGAAATTGCAAAACAGGCACTTGCACCAACAATTTTAAAATTTTGTTTGTTTTGTCTGATAGGTGAGATGGCCGCCAATAATATGAAACAATTTTCACAACGATACCACCAACCGTTTCGGAGAAATTGCAAAACAGGCACTTGCACCAACAATTTTAAAATTTTGTTTGTTTTGTCTGATAGGTGAGATGGCCGCCAATAATATGAAACAATTTTCACAACGATACCACCAACCGTTTCGGAGAAATTGCAAAACAGGCACTTGCACCAACAATTTTAAAATTTTGTTTGTTTTGTCTGATAGGTGAGATGGCCGCCAATAATATGAAACAATTTTCACAACGATACCACCAACCGTTTCGTGAGAAATTGCAAAACAGGCACTTGCACCAACAATTTTAAAATTTTGTTTGTTTTGTCTGATAGGTGAGATGGCCGCCAATAATATGAAACAATTTTCACAACGATACCACCAACCGTTTCGGAGAAATTGCAAAACAGGCACTTGCACCAACAATTTTAAAATTTTGTTTGTTTTGTCTGATAGGTGAGATGGCCGCCAATAATATGAAACAATTTTCACAACGATACCACCAACCGTTTCGGAGAAATTGCAAAACAGGCACTTGCACCGACAATTTTAAAATTTTGTTTGTTTTGTCTGATAGGTGAGATGGCCGCCAATAATATGAAACAATTTTCACAACGATACCACCAACCGTTTCGGAGAAATTGCAAAACAGGCACTTGCACCAACAATTTTAAAATTTTGTTTGTTTTGTCTGATAGGTGAGATGGCCGCCAATAATATGAAACAATTTTCACAACGATACCACCAACCGTTTCGGAGAAATTGCAAAACAGGCACTTGCACCAACAATTTTAAAATTTTGTTTGTTTTGTCTGATAGGTGAGATGGCCGCCAATAATATGAAACAATTTCACAACGATACCACCAACCGTTTCGGAGAAATTGCAAAACAGGCACTTGCACCAACAATTTTAAAATTTTGTTTGTTTTGTCTGATAGGTGAGATGGCCGCCAATAATATGAAACAATTTTCACAACGATACCACCAACCGTTTCGGAGAAATTGCAAAACAGGCACTTGCACCAACAATTTTAAAATTTTGTTTGTTTTGTCTGATAGGTGAGATGGCCGCCAATAATATGAAACAATTTTCACAACGATACCACCAACCGTTTCGGAGAAATTGCAAAACAGGCACTTGCACCAACAATTTTAAAATTTTGTTTGTTTTGTCTGATAGGTGAGATGGCCGCCAATAATATGAAACAATTTTCACAACGATACCACCAACCGTTTCGGAGAAATTGCAAAACAGGCACTTGCACCAACAATTTTAAAATTTTGTTTGTTTTGTCTGATAGGTGAGATGGCCGCCAATAATATGAAACAATTTTCACAACGATACCACCAACCGTTTCGGAGAAATTGCAAAACAGGCACTTGCACCAACAATTTTAAAATTTTGTTTGTTTTGTCTGATAGGTGAGATGGCCGCCAATAATATGAAACAATTTTCACAACGATACCACCAACCGTTTCGGGAAATTGCAAAACAGGCACTTGCACCAACAATTTTAAAATTTTGTTTGTTTTGTCTGATAGGTGAGATGGCCGCCAATAATATGAAACAATTTTCACAACGATACCACCAACCGTTTCGGAGAAATTGCAAAACAGGCACTTGCACCAACAATTTTAAAATTTTGTTTGTTTTGTCTGATAGGTGAGATGGCCGCCAATAATATGAAACAATTTTCACAACGATACCACCAACCGTTTCGGAGAAATTGCAAAACAGGCACTTACACCAACAATTTTCAAATTTTCTTTCTTTTGTCTCATAGGTGAGATCGCCACCAATAATATAAAACAATTTTCACAACGATACCACCAACCATTTCGGAGAATTGCAAAACAGGCACTTGCACCAACAATTTTAAAATTTTGTTTGTTTTGTCTGATAGGTGAGATGGCCGCCAATAATATGAAACAATTTTCACAACGATACCACCAACCGTTTCGTGAGAAATTGCAAAACAGGCACTTGCACCAACAATTTTAAAATTTTGTTTGTTTTGTCTGATAGGTGAGATGGCCGCCAATAATATGAAACAATTTTCACAACGATACCACCAACCGTTTCGGAGAAATTGCAAAACAGGCACTTGCACCAACAATTTTAAAATTTTGTTTGTTTTGTCTGATAGGTGAGATGGCCGCCAATAATATGAAACAATTTTCACAACGATACCACCAACCGTTTCGGAGAAATTGCAAAACAGGCACTTGCACCAACAATTTTAAAATTTTGTTTGTTTTGTCTGATAGGTGAGATGGCCGCCAATAATATGAAACAATTTTCACAACGATACCACCAACCGTTTCGGAGAAATTGCAAAACAGGCACCACCAACAATTTTAAAATTTTGTTTGTTTTGTCTGATAGGTGAGATGGCCGCCAATAATATGAAACAATTTTCACAACGATACCACCAACCGTTTCGGAGAAATTGCAAAACAGGCACTTGCACCAACAATTTTAAAATTTTGTTTGTTTTGTCTGATAGGTGAGATGGCCGCCAATAATATGAAACAATTTTCACAACGATACCACCAACCGTTTCGGAGAAATTGCAAAACAGGCACTTGCACCAACAATTTTAAAATTTTGTTTGTTTTGTCTGATAGGTGAGATGGCCGCCAATAATATGAAACAATTTTCACAACGATACCACCAACCGTTTCGGAGAAATTGCAAAACAGGCACTTGCACCAACAATTTTAAAATTTTGTTTGTTTTGTCTGATAGGTGAGATGGCCGCCAATAATATGAAACAATTTTCACAACGATACCACCAACCGTTTCGGAGAAATTGCAAAACAGGCACTTGCACCAACAATTTTAAAAAATTTTGTTTGTTTTGTCTGATAGGTGAGATGGCCGCCAATAATACGAAACAATTTTCACAACGATACCACCAACCGTTTCGGAGAAATTGCAAAACAGGCACTTGCACCAACAATTTTAAAATTTTGTTTGTTTTGTCTGATAGGTGAGATGGCCGCCAATAATATGAAACAATTTTCACAACGATACCACCAACCGTTTCGGAGAAATTGCAAAACAGGCACTTGCACCAACAATTTTAAAATTTTGTTTGTTTTGTCTGATAGGTGAGATGGCCGCCAATAATATGAAACAATTTTCACAACGATACCACCAACCGTTTCGGAGAAATTGCAAAACAGGCACTTGCACCAACAATTTTAAAATTTTGTTTGTTTTGTCTGATAGGTGAGATGGCCGCCAATAATATGAAACAATTTTCACAACGATACCACCAACCGTTTCGGAGAAATTGCAAAACAGGCACTTGCACCAACAATTTTAAAATTTTGTTTGTTTTGTCTGATAGGTGAGATGGCCGCCAATAATATGAAACAATTTTCACAACGATACCACCAACCGTTTCGGAGAAATTGCAAAACAGGCACTTGCACCAACAATTTTAAAATTTTGTTTGTTTTGTCTGATAGGTGAGATGGCCGCCAATAATATGAAACAATTTTCACAACGATACCACCAACCGTTTCGGAGAAATTGCAAAACAGGCACTTGCACCAACAATTTTAAAATTTTGTTTGTTTTGTCTGATAGGTGAGATGGCCGCCAATAATATGAAACAATTTTCACAACGATACCACCAACCGTTTCGTGGAAATTGCAAAACAGGCACTTGCACCAACAATTTTAAAATTTTGTTTGTTTTGTCTGATAGGTGAGATGGCCGCCAATAATATGAAACAATTTTCACAACGATACCACCAACCGTTTCGGAGAAATTGCAAAACAGGCACTTGCACCAACAATTTTAAAATTTTGTTTGTTTTGTCTGATAGGTGAGATCGCCAATAATATGAAACAATTTTCACAACGATACCACCAACCGTTTCGGAGAAATTGCAAAACAGGCACTTGCACCAACAATTTTAAAATTTTGTTTGTTTTGTCTGATAGGTGAGATGGCCGCCAATAATATGAAACAATTTTCACAACGATACCACCAACCGTTTCGGAGAAATTGCAAAACAGGCACTTGCACCAACAATTTTAAAATTTTGTTTGTTTTGTCTGATAGGTGAGATGGCCGCCAATAATATGAAACAATTTTCACAACGATACCACCAACCGTTTCGGAGAAATTGCAAAACAGGCACTTGCACCAACAATTTTAAAATTTTGTTTGTTTTGTCTGATAGGTGAGATGGCCGCCAATAATATGAAACAATTTTCACAACGATACCACCAACCGTTTCGGAGAAATTGCAAAACAGGCACTTGCACCAACAATTTTAAAATTTTGTTTGTTTTGTCTGATAGGTGAGATGGCCGCCAATAATATGAAATTTTCACAACGATACCACCAACCGTTTCGGAGAAATTGCAAAACAGGCACTTGCACCAACAATTTTAAAATTTTGTTTGTTTTGTCTGATAGGTGAGATGGCCGCCAATAATATGAAACAATTTTCACAACGATACCACCAACCGTTTCGGAGAAATTGCAAAACAGGCACTTGCACCAACAATTTTAAAATTTTGTTTGTTTTGTCTGATAGGTGAGATGGCCGCCAATAATATGAAACAATTTTCACAACGATACCACCAACCGTTTCGGAGAAATTGCAAAACAGGCACTTGCACCAACAATTTTAAAATTTTGTTTGTTTTGTCTGATAGGTGAGATGGCCGCCAATAATATGAAACAATTTTCACAACGATACCACCAACCGTTTCGGAGAAATTGCAAAACAGGCACTTGCACCAACAATTTTAAAATTTTGTTTGTTTTGTCTGATAGGTGAGATGGCCGCCAATAATATGAAACAATTTTCACAACGATACCCAACCGTTTCGTGGAAATTGCAAAACAGGCACTTGCACCAACAATTTTAAAATTTTGTTTGTTTTGTCTGATAGGTGAGATGGCCGCCAATAATATGAAACAATTTTCACAACGATACCACCAACCGTTTCGGAGAAATTGCAAAACAGGCACTTGCACCAACAATTTTAAAATTTTGTTTGTTTTGTCTGATAGGTGAGATGGCCGCCAATAATATGAAACAATTTTCACAACGATACCACCAACCGTTTCGGAGAAATTGCAAAACAGGCACTTGCACCAACAATTTTAAAATTTTGTTTGTTTTGTCTGATAGGTGAGATGGCCGCCAATAATATGAAACAATTTTCACAACGATACCACCAACCGTTTCGGAGAAATTGCAAAACAGGCACTTGCACCAACAATTTTAAAATTTTGTTTGTTTTGTCTGATAGGTGAGATGGCCGCCAATAATATGAAACAATTTTCACAACGATACCACCAACCGTTTCGGAGAAAATTGCAAAACAGGCACTTGCACCAACAATTTTAAAATTTTGTTTGTTTTGTCTGATAGGTGAGATGGCCGCCAATAATATGAAACAATTTTCACAACGATACCACCAACCGTTTCGGAGAAATTGCAAAACAGGCACTTGCACCAACAATTTTAAAATTTTGTTTGTTTTGTCTGATAGGTGAGATGGCCGCCAATAATATGAAACAATTTTCACAACGATACCACCAACCGTTTCGGAGAAATTGCAAAACAGGCACTTGCACCAACAATTTTAAAATTTTGTTTGTTTTGTCTGATAGGTGAGATGGCCGCCAATAATATGAAACAATTTTCACAACGATACCACCAACCGTTTCGTGGAAATTGCAAAACAGGCACTTGCACCAACAATTTTAAAATTTTGTTTGTTTTGTCTGATAGGTGAGATGGCCGCCAATAATATGAAACAATTTTCACAACGATACCACCAACCGTTTCGGAGAAATTGCAAAACAGGCACTTGCACCAACAATTTTAAAATTTTGTTTGTTTTGTCTGATAGGTGAGATGGCCGCCAATAATATGAAACAATTTTCACAACGATACCACCAACCGTTTCGGAGAAATTGCAAAACAGGCACTTGCACCAACAATTTTAAAATTTTGTTTGTTTTGTCTGATAGGTGAGATGGCCGCCAATAATATGAAACAATTTTCACAACGATACCACCAACCGTTTCGGAGAAATTGCAAAACAGGCACTTGCACCAACAATTTTAAAATTTTGTTTGTTTTGTCTGATAGGTGAGATGGCCGCCAATAATATGAAACAATTTTCACAACGATACCACCAACCGTTTCGGAGAAATTGCAAAACAGGCACTTGCACCAACAATTTTAAAATTTTGTTTGTTTTGTCTGATAGGTGAGATGGCCGCCAATAATATGAAACAATTTTCACAACGATACCACCAACCGTTTCGTGAGAAATTGCAAAACAGGCACTTGCACCAACAATTTAAAATTTTGTTTGTTTTGTCTGATAGGTGAGATGGCCGCCAATAATATGAAACAATTTTCACAACGATACCACCAACCGTTTCGGAGAAATTGCAAAACAGGCACTTGCACCAACAATTTTAAAATTTTGTTTGTTTTGTCTGATAGGTGAGATGGCCGCCAATAATATGAAACAATTTTCACAACGATACCACCAACCGTTTCGGAGAAATTGCAAAACAGGCACTTGCACCAACAATTTTAAAATTTTGTTTGTTTTGTCTGATAGGTGAGATGGCCGCCAATAATATGAAACAATTTTCACAACGATACCACCAACCGTTTCGGAGAAATTGCAAAACAGGCACTTGCACCAACAATTTTAAAATTTTGTTTGTTTTGTCTGATAGGTGAGATGGCCGCCAATAATATGAAACAATTTTCACAACGATACCACCAACCGTTTCGGAGAAATTGCAAAACAGGCACTTGCACCAACAATTTTAAAATTTTGTTTGTTTTGTCTGATAGGTGAGATGGCCGCCAATAATATGAAACAATTTTCACAACGATACCACCAACCGTTTCGGAGAAATTGCAAAACAGGCACTTGCACCAACAATTTTAAAATTTTGTTTGTTTTGTCTGATAGGTGAGATGGCCGCCAATAATATG